AGCCCTCTCTAAGTGGTTTACAGAGTCAGCATATTGCCCCCAACAATCCGGATCCTCATTTTACCCACCTCGGAAGGATGGAACCCTGAGCCGGTGAGATTTGAACAGCCGAACTGCAGTCAGCTGAAGTAGCCTGCAGTGCTGCATTTAACCACCGCACCACCTTGGCTCTTACTAGTCTGAAATTGTATAGGATCTCCTGTTTGAGCAGGGAGGTTGAACTAGATAACCTCCAAGTTCCCTTCTAGCTCTATTCTGATTGATTGATTGATTTGATTGATTGATTGATTGATTGATTGATTGATATAGTATGATCTGACTCTTCTTTTCTTCTGAAAACAATCTTTGGTCCAAACAGCAGCAAAAGTCAACCGTCAGCAATGCCAACTGAATTCAACTGTTCATTCATAAAGATTCCTAAACCCCCAATAATTATAATTACACAATTATAAACTTGGCAAGGTCTGGCTGGCAGACGGACAGATGCGAGAGTGATGGGGTATTGTCAAGAAACACAGAGACAGTCTTCAGTTAACAAGCACCAGGCAGAAGTTCTATAACTGTCGGGTTTCATACAGCCACCGAGCAGGATAGACACAGACTTCAACGCATAGTAAGGACTGCTGAAAAAATAATTGCACCCAGCCTGCCTTCCATTGAGGATCTGGACACTCCTCATGTTGAGTCTTGTCATCTCTTGTTTGACCATGTCCGGCTTGCCTTAATTCATGGATCTTACATTCCAGGTTCCTAAGGAGTAGAGATCTTTACAGCATCGGACTTTCACCACCAGATACATCCACAGCTGAGCTTCCTTTCGGCTTTGGCCCCGCTGCTTCACTCTTTTTGACGTTACTAGTACTAGCCCTCTGCTCTTCCCCAGTGGCATGTTAGATACCTTCCACCTTCTTCTCACTGGAGAAGAGCCTAATGCTGGGAACGATGGAGGGCAAAAGAAGAAGAAGGGGACAGCAGAGAAGGAGGTGGCTGGATGGAGCCACCGAAGCGGCAGGCAGGAGCTTAAATGGACTCCAGGGAACGGTAGAAGACGGGAAGCCCTGGAGGAACATTGTCCATGGGGTTGTGATAGGTCAAACACGACTTCGCAACGAACAATAACACACTGCATGAGCCAGAAAGAGGGCTGAGAAGATATCTACAGACTCTTCACATCCTGGACACACACTGTTTGAACTCCTCTCCTCCAGATGCTCCTATAGGATATTGCATACCAAAATAGCCAGACACAAAGACAGTTTTTTCCCCTGCCATCACTCTGCTGAACATGTAATTCCCTTATGCCTAAGGATATTTACCCATGTAGTAGGTCTGTGCTACTATTATCCTTCTCATCTTTCCTAGTACCTCTTCCTGTTGTTACCTTATGATCATATCACTTTGTTCTTTTTATGTACACTGAGAGTTTCTGCATTGGTGACAAATTCCTCGTGGGTCCAATCACAGATGGCCAATAAATTATTCTCTTTTGTTCTGTTCTGTTAAGCTCTGTTCTACTCTATTCTATTCTTTCTGTTCTACTCTAATCTACCCTACCCTATTCTGTTCTGTTTTAAGTTCTATTCTATTCTGTTCTGTTAAGTTCTGTTCTACTCTACTCTACTTTATTCTTCATTCCAATATTCTACTCTACTCTACTCTACTCTACTCTACTCTACT